GACCAGGATTTTGGTCACTGCCTTCACAGAGCATACCTTTTGGGGTGTGTAGAGGGGAGGTGAGTGGTGCATGTGTGTGGACAGCCAAGCCCAAATAAATTACTTTATGACTTCAGGGGGCATGGACACATGAATAAAGTGCAAGATCATTTTACTAGTCCAAGGATGTTAACCATGCTCTTGCTCTGGGCTCAGCACAAACAGCTCTGTGACTTCAAAAGTCTCTAATTGGGGGGTAGCGAGGCCCCACATGTGAAAGAATTGGGGCCTGTGTCACCAAGAGAGATCCCAGAGGAGGCAATCCCCGAAGGAAAGGGCCCCTTACAGACTCAAAGAACCTGCAGTCTGGGAACCAGACTCCCTATGGTCTGGGTGGTGGGTGGCCTGGGCAGTAGGTGTTAGCAGCTCTTTCGGGCTGCTGTTTTCTCCAGGTCCTTGGATGGGGAGGGAGAGAGGGAACCAAGTTGGCAGCAAGAAAGGCAGCATACATAGTGGCACCCACATGGCCACTACGCCTCCAGCTGGTGCTCCCCAACCTAGTGGGGCCCCTGCCTGGACTTGCCTGCACTGGACTGGGCTTCAGTCCTAGCCTCAGCTATGCTGGACCTGAAGAGGCCCTTCCTATTCAAAAAGGCTATGGTGTCCATCCTGAACTCGGCAAAAATGTACAGAGATTCCTTTTCACTTTTTCTCCTCTTCCTGTGGGCTCTTAGATTATGAGATATAAACTATTTAAAACGTCGATTTTATTTTTTAAATGTTAAACATGCTCATTAAAGGAAACTTAGAAAAGTTTTTAAAAGATCGTTTTTAAAAATAGGTTTTCATGGTAGAAAGTCGATATTTAATAAAATGGGGGAAAAAAAGAACTAAGATTCAGGAATCCAGGTTCTAGATCTGCAGTTCCGCCCTTGCTTTGCCACCTCACACAAGTACCTTAACCTTTCTGAGCCTCCATGTGCTGGTTTGTAAGTTGAGGGCGGTAACACCGTTTCTCCCTCCCTCTTGCTAATGATATTGTTGTTCCCCAGAGAAAAATGAGATTTGAAAGTGTTCTGTAATCCGGAAGTGACTATAAAATATGAGGGGGTGTGCCACAAACTCTGGTCCTCAGGGCTGGAAGCACCAGGAAGCACTTGCGGAGGTCTACGAGGGAGAACATGTATTCGCTTTGCAACCCAGAGTAGTAATTTCGAAAGCAAGACCATTAATAAGAGTTGCTGCTTCCTCTCCTCTCGTCTGTAACAGGCTGCAGAGCTCGGTTCCGGGGGAACAGGGCGGGGCCTCTACGTCCACTCCGTATCCCCAAGAATTCTGAGTGTCCGAGGCACGGACCATAGGAAGTGAAGGAAGGTAGGTCGACGTGGCCTTGCAGCTGAATTCGTTCTCCATTTTTCCTTCAGCAGGGACGCATCCTGCTCCGCACCCTGGTTCTCCGCGCTGCACCCGCGGGGGCTCGTGCAGGGCACGGCGGGCAGCGTCGGTGAGGACCGAGTGCTGCGCAGGGAAGGAGAATCGCAGACCGGCGCCCAGGCCTAGTGGGGGAATTCGAGGGCCGTGTGGGGGCAGGACTTGGCATTCGTTTTGCGCGGGTCACCTTGAATGTCTGTCCGCAACCCTCGCGAGCTGCCGCAGCGGTGCGTCCATATCTTGGAGGAATTCGTTCCATAGAAGGAGGGTTGATTCTCTTTGGGGTTTCTTGTTTTCCATTATAAGACTCTGGCGAACTTGGTGGCGCCAAATTTTTTTCAGACGTTGCTTTTGTTTCGGGTGTAGCAGCCAAGATCATGGTCCCTGGCGTTGCACTTGGTTTAAAGCAAACTCGGACACGTCCCACCAAAAACTCGCGGGAACTCGACACTGGGAAACCATCAGTGGTTTCACTGTGAATTCCAGCATCCACCGTTTATTTTTATTTTTTGGTGGAACCAGTGTTTAAATTCCTGTGTACACGATACGCAGCCTATAATTTGCCTCTTCTAGGGTATGGACCAGCTCAAGTCCCAGGAACCTTAATGGAACAGGGCAAAGCAATTTATTCTTGCTTTGGAGATATTTTCTGAAAGAGTACAGTACACCTAAGTAATTCTTATTTGTCTAAAATCTGACGACCTGACGCTGGGTCATTAGACCCAGGCTCTTAGGAAAAAAAAAAAAAAAAAAAAGTCAAAGACGTTCACAGTGTTAAATTCTCCTCCGAGATTATGGGAAAGGAAACCCGAGAGAGGACTTGAATGGGGACTGGGCCGCTCTACCCAGGCCAGCCCAGGCATATCTTCCTTAAAAATAGCCAAGAGGCCGGACCTGAGAGCACCCATCCGCTGCCCCCCTTCCCAGCGGCCTCTGGAGCGAGAGAGAAGCCTGGGAACCTAGAGAGGCGCCGATAAACCTCCTCCAGCCGGCGGCCCAGCGAGGCCTTGAAATGCTCCCCGCTCCTGGCAACGCGCAGCCAACCTGCAGGCTCCCGCTTGGCCCAAGGGAGGGAGGGGGCGAGCCAAGGAGGAAAGGAGGGAAAAGGAAACATCCCCCTAAAAAGCAGCCCATTTGCCAACCACTCCTGGTTTGTCCTTGAGCTGAGGCCTTGGGGAGAAAGTTGGGGCGCTGGACCTAGAGGAAAAAGCCACAAGAAACATAATTTTCTCTGTCCCAGGCGCCTTCCAGAGACAGCGAATATTCCTGGGTCAGGGGATCCCAGGTTTCAGTCCACTAGGAGCGCCAGCGGAAGGTGTGGGTAAAGGACCAGGGTGGTAGGGGGTGGTGGGAGGTGGTAGGGGGAGCCCAGGGCTGGCACAAAGTGGCGGCTCAGGGAATCTGGGGTTCCTAGCAAGCAAGCACCCAGCAAAATCAAGCGATCCCACCCAGGGATGTGGCAGCGGCCATCCACAGCGCAGCCTGTTATAGCCCCACCAGTGTACAGAGCAGGGGATTGAAGCTTAGGGAGGATGGGGAGGGCGAGGGTGAAGGATCGCCGCAAGGCACCGCACCTCCCGCTGCGGCCCATCCCGCACAACTGAGAGAAGCCGACGTAGGAGCGACGCCTGTGTCTTTGGCTGTGGGGAGAACGCTCAGATGGCACCCCGCCAGACACTAAGCCCCAAGCCCCTGGCTTGTTGCTAAGAAAATTGACTGCCTGGTCCAGACTCAGCCCTTTTTGCCCTTTGAGGGTCGCGCGTGGGAGGCAGCTCTGAGACCCCAGGCAGCGCTGGAGCCACAGATTTCCTCGGAGAAAAGAGAGGCCGGGGCACCTTCCCGCTCGCCCAAGCCCAGAATTTCCACTCTCCAGAAAGGCCTTGCAGGCCCCTGCCGCGGGCCTTGGCTTCGCGCCTCTCTTGCTCACCCCCGCGAGGATGATTGCCGGTTTCAAACCGCGAGCAGGGAGTCTGCTTCCTTCTCCGCTGCGTCCGAAGGATCGCAGATTGGAGCGTGCTCCAGAGACCGCTTTTCCCCAGCACCGGCCTCCGAGATCCCCAGGACCCCTTCAGCCTAAGTTCCCACGTCTCGGGTCCATGGCGCCAATTCTGCTAAGGAGCAGGCTAGGAGTTGGGAGAAGTCGGAGAAGAAATCCTAAGTGTGCGCCCCCAGCTTCCGGGGTGCAGGCCGGCCAGGGTCTGAAGGAGCGGCTGCAGTGCGTCCAGCCTGTGCTCAGGCCTTTCGCCGCTCGTCGCCCCACGCAGCCTCTGTTTGGGCCCCCGTGAACCTCCGCACCTCTCATTCAGGGAAGAGAATTCCCCGCGCAGCCGCGCTCGTTTCTTCCTCTGGGATTTTCCTGAGAATCCCCAGGAGTTGGCCACGATCCCATGGGGGGTTTCCTTCTACCCAGCCCCGCGTCCTGGCCTCGTCCTTAACACCCGGGTTGCCTTCACTCACGCTGGGAATCCATGACTGATTTCCTACTTCGGAAGCGGGTGGCGTCCCCAGCCTGATTTCGGAGCAGCACGGGTTTCGTGCAGGGCGATATCCCGACCCCTTCCCCCATCCCTGTAATCTGGTTTGAGAAGCCTGTGCTGGGGAAAAAAACGCGGCCTAAAAAGAAAAAAAAAAAAAGGTTTAACCGAAAGCGTGAGAGCCACCCGCCGGCTGTTATCTGGGGCTGAAGGCTGCGGTAATCGATGGGTTATTTTTACGCGGTAATAGGGCCCTGTGATTGCTCTATTAACCTTTAGACCTGTCTGAGGGACTCTCCGGCTCGCAGCCCCGCTGCGCTGGGGCCTCCAGGCCCTGACGCCGACTCCCAACTCAGGCCTGACACATTCCCCTCCCCCATTCCCTGGAAGAGCCCCCTCCACGGAGAAGCTCCCCTGGACCGCCGGGCTCCCCAGTCCTTGCCACATCCCTTGGATTGGTGCTGCGGCCGCCGCAGGCTGCAGAAAAAACGGGGAATGATTAGAAGAGAGGAGGCAACGGGAGATGGGAAGCGTCGCCAGGAAGGGATGCAGACTTTGCTTAAATACATGAAATTGAGGGTGAGGCAAGGGCTCCCGACCGTCTCCCTGGGCTTTTGGGAAGGTAAAAGGGAGGCTTCAGTCTGTATGCTCTGATTTTAGGAGGCAGTCTGGGTGTCTCCTGAACCTCCCCGGAATCCGGGCAGGATACCCCTGCCCAGAAACTAGCATCCAGCCGGGCACTCCGGGTGACCCAGTGCCCCACACAAGATCGGGAGTTGAGCCCAAGAGGTCACCTTCTTCTCTACTGGCCCCGCCCCTCGCCCACCACCGCAGGATGAGGACCACGGGAAGGGGGGCGGGGAGGGAGAAAGGAAACTCATTAATAAAGCTGACCCTGGGCACCACAGCGAACCCAATCGACCTCCGGCTGGGCTGCGGGCGATTCCCCGCGCCCTGCCTGTAGCACTTGGGCGTTTTCCGCGGAGACCCCAGAGCCTGGACTTTGCCTGCTGGAGGAGCTTTCCGCACAGCCCCGCTGCCGGCGCCCGGCGGAGGTGTAGCCGGGGCCGCGCACCCCCGCCCCGCCCTTGCACGTGACTCCCACAGGCCAGTCAGCGCCCGCGGGCCGAGTCGCAGGGCCAGGGACCAGAGCCGCGAGCAGGGGACTCGGAGGCTACAGGCGCAGGGGCCGCGAGAGGCTTCGTCGCCGCTCCAGCTCCTGGGGCGCCCAAGGGAGCGCGCGCGGAACCTCCAGGCCCAGCAGGTAGGGCTTTTTTCTTCCCTTTCTTTGCTCCTTGCCACGGTCCCCCAAACTCGGAGTTTCTCCGCCCTTGCTTGTCTGGCGGTAGAGAGGTAGCTAGTGGGAGGAAAAGAGACGTGCGCTCCTCCCTTCCCCGAAATTGGCCAACCCCGCTCTGCTTTTGACTTTGCCTTAGCAACATCTTTAAGTCAAAGTAAGACCTGGGGGCAAAACAGAGAAATATTGGAAGCGCTTTTGGATTCTTTCCGTGTGAACTTGAACGCTTTCAATCCCTGCCCCCGTGTGCACTTTCTTCAGCCCTTGTTTGCACATCGCAGGCCGGGGCCTGGGTGGTCATGGTTGCCGTGTGAAGTTACCGGGACTGACGGACCCGAGACAGGCCGCACGGCAGCTCGCACATGGAGGGAAGTAGACGGAGGCGTGTCGCCCACCAGCGACTCCGGGGACGCAGGGTGGCGGTGCCAGGCAGCGCCGCTGGGCCTCAGGGGCCCCTGGGAGACACTCCGAGGTGCGGGAAGGCTGCTGAGTGGCGGAACTGTTCATGCCCTTTCTGGCCAGCCTCCTCGGCCTCGGGGCTGGGGTCCAGGGACTGAATGTTCCTCTGGAAGCTCACCACCCCACCTACCCGCGCTGCTTCTGCCTGAAACTGGCCGAGGGCCCGAGCCCGGACCGGAGCCGTGACTTCCCTCCGCCGGCCACGGCTCTGCCAGGATCCGCCGGGTTATGTCGCTTGGCTTTGGGCTCAGGGGTCACCGTGGGCAGAGGGGGGTGCCGGGGTGGCGGACTGCCACCAGGTTGAGGAAAGGAAGGGCCTTTTGGTTGGGGAAAGAGCGTGGTGGGGGACCCGCGGCCGATGGAAGCCCTGGGGTAGCGCGGCCCGCACCGCGGAGTTTGGGGAAGCCCCTCGGGGAAAGTGTTTCCTGTATTCCCAGAAAAGGAAGACAACCAAGAGCGGGTTTCAGGCTTTTTAAGAAAGCCTGGGGTGAGGAGGTGATGCTCCGCACATTGCTGTGTCTCCTCCCCGGCTGCGGCCGACTTGGTTGTGCCGGTTAGAGTGTGACCGTCCTCCTCGCTGCAGGCCCAGAGCGGAGGCGTAAGCCCAGGCCAGCGAGGAGTCTCCTGTAAAGGGACGGGTATATCTGGGCGCTTGCAATTCTCCCATTCTCAAAAACAGATCGGAAGAGGGCTGTTGGTTGATTCTTGAAAGGAGAGCGCATTTCCTGTTGGCCTGCGAATTTGGGGTGAACTGGGACAAGTGATCAGAAGGAGAGCAAAAACTCCCCGATTCTGGCAGCCTCAGGAGCTGCTGGGCTTTCTCCGGAGGTGCTGGGCTTTCTCCACCAACTGCAGGATCCAGGTTCAATTTCAGCAACTAGCCAGAGGCGTTTTCAAAGAGTAGCTAATTTCTTGTCTTTCCAGAAAGTTATAGAGGGGTATTTTCTCCACCTTCTATTGTTGTAGTAATTCAACTCAGGCAATGTATCAGCCATTTGAAAAGGCAGAGAATGTGATAAAGACAAATATTAGATTCATGACATTTTTTGCGTCTACATTTTAAAGTCTGCAAGTTGCTACCTATGTGTATACTGGAAGTTGGATTATAAAATTCTAAATCTCCTTTCTTTGCCAACGTTATGAGAGAAAAAATATTACATTATCTTGAAGAACTGCAGGAGTTGAGTATTCCAGAAAATGCAATGAAATAGGTCAGCTACTTGATTTAAAAGTCAAATACTGGATCTTTTATCAAGATAAACTCATAATTCTTTAGCTTTATTTTCAAAGGAAAAAGTTGGTGACCTCAGGTCAATTTTTTATCTATTCTCTAACCAAACTTGCTGGAATGAACTATTCGCCAAACCAATAGTTTATTGCATATTTTGAAAGCAAATAAGCTTTTAGGAGTTACCATGTGACTATATAATACAATACAGTACTATTAATTCCATTATTATTACTAGTGATGTTTCAAACAAGGTGAAAAGCATTATGTGGTGTGTATTAAAGATTCCATTTCCAGATTTTACAGTAATAAAGATGATCATTTATTATAGTAGATACATCTGAGGTACTTTCTTGTGTTACATTAGAAATCTGTAGTAATAGTCAGCTGTGTTTTAGAACTTTCTTTTTGCCTGTTAGGACAGTTTTATAAAAATCTGTTATAAGTGTTTTACAAATATTAATTTATAATCCTCACTCCTAAGCTTCATGATGACTCTACAAAATAGGTGCCTTTAATATTTGCATTTTGCAGATGAGGAAACTGAGGCACAGAGAGGCCAAGTAATTTATCTAAGGGTATTTATTCCATAAGTGTCAGAGCCTGGATTCAGTATATAGTTAATATTCTTGTAAATCTACTATTGAAATAAAAAAGAAATATTTGTCGGGAGTAGTTGCCTTTTCTTAAAGAGAGAAATAGAGTGTGCTGGACAGCTTCAAGCCCCTGGAGCCCTGCTGATCCCATCCCCTTCCCCCACCCCTTCTGATTGTACTTTGATCTTAGACAAGTTTCAGAACTTTCCAGTGCTTCAGTTCCCTCTTGTAAAATGAGGAGAGACACCTGTACAATGAGTAGAGTTGTAGAGAAAAAGACCTGGAGGTAATTCAGACAGCAGGTAATTCAGAAAGTGGAGCTCTTGTTTTATCAGAAAAATTGCCTGATAGCAAAACACAGGATGCTGGGAAGTATATAATCAAGTTCCACAAACTGCTCTTTCCCCAAGCGTCCACCTTGGTGTTATGATTCTGCTTATGGGTGGACTTGTGATTCTATATGAAGAACCCATTCAGTGAATTAGAATGGTACAGTGCGTTATTCTGTAGAGCGACATTGTACATTCTTCTCACTTTTCTGGTTCTGATATACAATTTGCAAAACGACTAAATTATAACTATTTGCAAGAAACCTGTAACTTGTCTGATTTGACGTCCACATGGTATAGTGTATGGATGAGGGTTTCACAACCCTCTTCATGAGGCTTAGCAGACACCGTTGTTCATTTATAAACATTTGGACTCTACTTCTGTTTTGTCTTTTGTGTTTGTTTGTTTTTTTGTTTTGTTTTAATTACAAACAAAAGTTTGTTAGGTTGTTGTTTTGTATAAAGTTTGTCCTTGTCCCCTCAAGGACAATCTAAAGTTCTTTCTAGGTCAGTAATGCTTGGGGAGAGATGGGGGAAGGGAAAAGATGAGAGATTTCTTGGGTCCCAGGCACTCTGCATGAACCCCAAACTTTTGGGCTTACACTTACAAAAGTATGCTTGCAGAATAAGGTAACATTAAAGTCCTTCCTGACAAGCAATACAAAAATAATTGACCAAGATCACAACCAATAACTGCACGCCCAAGACCGGGGAAGCCCCTGGTCCCCGGGGCGCCTCTCCCCAGGCTTGCCTGGGCCGCCTGACCCAACGCCTGGACAAAACAAAGGCCCCTGCTTCCCGGCACCGCGGGGCCTCCGGAGCTGGACCCCCAAACCCCCATGGCGACTTCGATTGCAGCGTGGAAGAAGCAACCACGCAAGTGGAGAGTGGGTTCTGAAAGCTCTGGGATGAACCGCCCTCTCTCTTTTTCTCATTCCTCCTTTAGGACCCTGGCTGCAGCGAGGAGGAAGGAGCTAGCCTGGCCCTCTGCCTTGGAGCCAGCCTAGCAGGTTCTGCGCCCGTGGCCGCAGGTGTCCTGGAGTCCTCTCGGCTTGACGAGTGGGGGACCCGAAGGCCCGTGCGCCACCTCCAGGCTTGGACGCTGCCCTCCATCTTCTGCCCCCAATAAGTGCTCCGGACCTCCAGGCCCTGGGGTGAATTCAGCTGCTCCTGCATCACCTTCCGGAACCACCAAAAATTCAAATTGGGATTTTCCGGAGTAAACAAGAACCTAGAGTCTTTTGCTCAATGCTGGATTTAATACGTATATATTTTTAAGCGATTTGGTTTTTTCCCCTTTTTGATCTTCGTGACAGTTCCTCCCACGCATATTATTGTTGTTGCCGTCGTTTTTTCTCCCCGCGTGGCTCCTTGACCTGCGAGGGAGAAGGAGGACCCCGAAGCCGGGAGCTCTCAGGGGCAATGTACCAGAGCCTGGCGATGGCCGCCAACCACGGGCCGCCCCCGGGTGCCT